ACTTCTTATCGTTCATCGTGTTGTTAATTTGGTAGCAGAAATAAAGTACGTGGGTGAGCCGATCAGGTTTCGGTGCGAGATATACCCATAATGTGAATCCTAACAATTCATGTGTAAATGTTCATTATTCCTGTTAAGTCTGTTCACCCACTATTATTGTTAAATTTTTTGTCACAAGTTTTACAAGTAAGTAAAGTAGATTTTTAGCCACTTCAAAGTAGCTCAAGGATCGCCCATATACTACCACCAAGTAATGTACGTAGGAGGAGTCGAAAGACAACGACCCTGCTAGAAGACATGCACATGACCTGCAGTTAGTGGAGTCTGCGGTAAGGAATATACTACCTGAAGAGGTTTCAGGGGTACATATTACAAAAGTAATACCTTTAACACTTCAAAGTGTAAAGTAGTCCATCTGCGACATGTCGCAAACTACAGTTACAACTTAGGAAACTCCTCTCTAGTAGTATCCCAAGTCGAAAAAGATTTAGGAGTCCTGGTGCCCCATGACTTAAAGTCTTACGCTAACTGTGACAAAAATGCCTTCCGAGCAAACCTTGCACTGGTAACGTTGAGGCGCATTTTTGGTCAGTTTGACGGAAGAACTTTCCACACAATCTTCAATAGTTTCATCCGTCCCCATTTAGAGTACGGAAACATAATACTCCCCCCCTCACTCCAAAAGGATAAGGTCACTTTGGAGCGTATCCAACGGCGAGCCACGAAATCAGTTCGAGGACTCAAATCTAAGCCTTACGAAGAACGCCTCCGTTCACTAGACCTTTACCCACTAGAATATAGGCGTCTTAGAGGTGATTTATTAATGGCTTATAGTATTCTTAACACTTCTGGACATCCTCTTAAACACCTACTTAAGCTTAGTTCAAACAATAACCTAAGGGGTAACACCCAGAAACTGGAAACACAACATAGCAAGACGGAATGTAGACACAACTTCTACTCCTTAAGAGTTGTCAAAAGCTGGAACTCGCTGCCGGCCGAGCTAGTCCAAGCGACTTCTCAGGAGTCCTTCAAGAGGCAACTTGACCTATTCTTAAGGACCAAGGACAGCATCGCACTATGATTTACCAATTTCTTTTCCTCTTTTATTGTTAACATACCTAGGTTCCTGCCTGGAGGATTTGGTGATCCCCTGCTACTAGACACGGAAGCCTGTTAAGCGAAAGCTTCTTCTATTCCGTCCACAACCATTTGAACCATTTGAACCATTTTGGTAAATGGGTTGGAGGCGAGACCCAACCAAGAAGAATCCTGAAGCTGGTTCTCAGGAGTTTTGAAGAAAGAGACATATTATTGAAAAACGCACTAAAAACTCGTGCCTCAAATATCCGTATTCGACCAGATTGGCCGCTTGAGGATCGAATCAAGTGGAAAAATGCTCTTACGGAGTTGAGGACTCGCAAATTAAATGGCGAAAATAACCTTACCATTAAGGGTCTCAGGTAGTCAGGTCTTGGAAGCCCATGCTTCCGAGGCCTGTATGGGTAGAACGATTGATTTCCAAAACACCTTGAGTGTGTGCTACACGAACGCTCGTAGTCTTAGAAATAAAACGTCCGAGCTAAGTCTGATGGTGCAAGAATTATGTCCCGATATAATCGTTGTTACAGAAACTTGGTTCACCGTTGATATAGACTGTTCTCCTTTCGTTGCTGGTTATATCTGTATCAGAAGTGATAGAGTTTCAAGTCGCAAAGGGGGAGGTATAATATTATACGTTAGGGATCACTTTCGTATACAATCAACCATATCGGAGGCTCATATCAGTGGCACATGTGAGGTTGCATGTTGTAAGATTAAATCTAGAAATGGGTTAGTGACTATAGGGGGAATATACCTTAGTCCGTCTTGTCTTGCTGACGACTTTATCCTAAGACACATCTGTTCTTGGAGTATGGCAGAATGTTGTCTCATCATTGGGGACTTCAACGCACCGCATATCAACTGGATAGAGCTTAGAGCTCCCGGTAGTGGTTTCGATAGCGACCTTTTATCTACCGTTATTCACTGTGCACTTGTACAATGTATCACAAAACCGACACATTGATTTGCAACATGATCCGTCACTGCTGGACCTCGCCCTCACCCACCACTGTGAGGATGTCTTTTATTTCCAGCACCTTCCCCCACTAGTGAACAGTGATCACGTTGTAATTCACTTTAAGTTTAGGACACATGGTATACAATTCGTATCTGCTCCACCCCGTCCCAATATCTGGCGAGCTAATATTCCGGAAATCAGAAACTGTGCTATGTCGACTGATTGGTCGGTCGACGCGGATGGATTGATCGAGGATGAATGGAATAAGTTTAAGGCTACATTCGAGTCTGTAACGTCGCCGTTTATCCCATGGTTAGCACGTAAGCTATCACATTGCCCTCCATGGATTAATAAGGAAACCCGGAAGCTGTTAAAGCGTAGGAAACATTTCTGGGACTTATTCTTGTTGACAGGTCATGCACCATTTAAGCGTGAGTACCAAAAATACCGTAATATCTGTAAGAAACCCCGTACCACTTACGAACGACAGTTAGTATATGATAGCCGTACTTGTCCGAAACGATTGTTTTCGTATGTTAAACGGCAAATGAAACGTAGTGATGGTATTCCCCCGTTACTGTTACACGAAAATTCAGAATTACTAGTTGAATCAGATCGAGCAAAAGCTGAGACTTTTTCAGACTATTTTAGCGAAGTCTTCTCTACCACTCACACCGAGATACCAATCATTGAATCTGTACAGGTGACTGAGGAAACTGTCCTTCCGTTGATAACTAACCTCAAACCTGGTAAGATACCGGGCCCTGACGGGTTACATCCACGGCTGCTGTCATCTCTTGCGGACATTATTTCAAAACCGCTTGCGACACTCTTCAAAATATCCCTCTCATTCGTTCAACTCCCTAGAGATTGGAAGGACGCTATCGTTAGTCCTATATTTAAGGACGGTCAGCGACAGATAGTATCTAACTACCGGCCTGTCAGTCTAACTAGCATAGTCGTTAAGTTACTTGAAAAGATAATTCGGGTTAGGTTGCTAAGCCACATAGATTTACACAATCTGTTAGCTCCTGAGCAACACGGATTTCGTAACAAGCGTTCTAGCTGGACTAACTTGCTTATTGTGAGGGAGGATTGGACAGCAGCCCTAGATAACGGTCTGTCTGTCGATGTGATATTCATAGATTTTAGCAAAGCATTTGACAAGGTTTCACACGTAGGTCTTATGCAGAAGCTCACGAGCTTCGGAATAATAGGTACTGTACATGAGTGGATAGGGAATTTCTTATGTGACCGCAGACAGAGAGTTAGGGTCAATGGAACGCTATCCGATTGGAAGCCAGTCAAAAGTGGTGTACCCCAAGGCACCATCTTAGGCCCTCTGCTCTTCCTTCTCTACGTTAATGAGTTACCGCTGTTACTTAGGTCGTCGACATTATTGTTTGCGGATGACGTAAAAATCTGGAGAACAATAAACAGTGCGGCTGATCATGTGGATCTTCAAGCTGACTTAGACGATTTAGTTAGATGGGCTCGAGAGTGGGGCTTAGAAATCAATGCTAGGAAGAGTGTACTAATGCACATCGGTCACGGTAATAGTTACCGTTACACTATTGAGGGTAAACCTCTTCCATGCGTTCAAGAGCATAAAGACTTAGGAGTAATATTAAGTCATGATTTAAAAACAACTACGCATTGCAAGGCAGCCGCTGTCAAAGGTTTTCGTGCGTTATGGTCAATTCGCCGAGCGTTCAAATCTTCTGACGAGGAAACGTTTCGAATTTTATATCCCATATATGTTAGACCACATTTAGAGTACTGTATCCAGGCAGCTAGCCCGTGTCTGGTAAAGGATACTAACTCCCTTGAGCGTGTCCAGCGTGTGGGAACGAAATTAGTGAAGGGTCTTTCTAGTCTCCCTTACGATGAGCGTTTAAAACGCCTAAATCTTTTCCCCTTGTCGTATCGTAGGACACGAGGTGACCTTATACTGGCATTTCGAATCTTTAATTATGATTAGGGTGTTAATATGTCTTATCTTTTTGCTCCCTCCAGCACTAATAATCTCCGAGGTCATAGCAAGAAGGTTCATAAACCACGATCTAATAAACTTAAAGTGGGGTCTCGTTTTTCTCATCGAGTAGTCGATGATTGGAACGCCTTACCCGAACAAGTGGTATCAGCCCCATCAGTGAATACTTTCAAGGAGAAGCTGGACCTTCACTGGAAAGCAATGCGTCAGGATTAACACAGGTTCATCAACCTACTATCCTTATTACTGAAGACTGAAGACCCATTTACTTTTAATACAATAACTCATCTTCGAACTTGGTTTGATTATATTAGTGCAAGTAAAATCTAAGGCATAATTGTTTGATATGCCGTATACCCTCAAACAGTCCAGTTTATATGTATATGCTGTTAGTGAATAGTATACTGTCGCTCCACAGGAATGAAAGACCAGATTTTTTAGACACTATCTGAAGTATTGAAAGCAAAGCTCTTATGTTGGGTTTCTGTGCCAACCTAGATTCTGTTCATTTTCTTGATCCTAGTCTGTTAAATTTCAAAGCTTCATACCGAACCGTCAATAAAACATTGCTTTCGCAACCGCTTTGAGCACATCACTGTTTTAGTAAGTATGAAGTAACAGGATGACCAAGATGAGTTCAAAGCTGACTTTTTAAATTTGGGCGTCTTTTTTTGTGCCGTTCAGATTTTTTTTACAGGTCAGGGTATTCTGGTGGCGTTCTGCCTACCAGTAGCATCTAAAATAATAAAAATCTGGCTGAAATAATAACATGGAAGCTCTTTCTACTGTACGTATTCTTACCTTTTTGGTCAGAACGTAATAAATCAGAATATTTTTGCGGATTGTTGGTTTTAGCCTTCAAATTGATATTTTTTGTTAATTAATACGTTAGGTAGTTTATATGCTGCTCGAATTATCAAACTGTAACTACTTGACGTCATTTGGGTGTGCAATAAGTTCTGTTCTAATGGCAAGATAACAATTAGATTCGACCGACCATTTTTGCTGTCTGTTCCTTTTGTTCTAGGTGTCTTATGTTCAGAGTTTTCCCTTTAAATTAACTATTTACTCTGGCATTTGGGTTTGTTCTACGTTGGTGAGAAGTTTCTTCTTCGACATGATAAAATATATATTCGGTCTCTGCTCTATGTTAACTGATATTTGATAAAAACCCTTCACAATTTCAGGTATTGCGTTCTCCTGCAACATATTTTCAGTTCAGTGCTTTGCAACTGATTATGATCATATTTTCATCTTGGTTTTGGTATTTTTAAGTCTTATTGGTGCAACCTTTTTTCTTATGTCCATATAGAGCATCAAGGCTACAATTTTGGTCCGTATACTAGACGCGAATTCGACTTAATCTATAAAGATTTTCAGTGTTTTCAGATGTCCACCGTAACAGATGGTTTGGTTGTACAATAATTTTTATATGGTTTACAACTTATATAGACGAAATCATAAAGAGAAGACTTTTAATCGAAGGCGAAAGTGGAAATGATGATCGCAGAATTACTCTATTGCTGAAAAATTATCTTCGATGGGTAGCTTCTGATGATGTTGGTGAAGACGGGTAAATGATTTCCGAAACCTTTATTTGGGTCAGCTACGAAGCCTATCAAGCCCTTATAGCTAGTGTTTACCAGTGTGAAAACGCCATGGAACAGTCGTCATTAGTAATAGCTATGAACTACGAACAGCAAAAACAGTATGAGGATTTATATAAGGAGATTGGTATGTTGCAACTACGAAAATTATCCTCATAGAAACGGCCATTGAAAGTGCAAAAAATCGCATTCAGCAATGTAAAGAAGATCTGAGGTCCGCAAAAACCGTCAGGAAAAATAGACGAGGTAATTTGGTGCGTAGTTAGCTTATTTCAACAGAGTATGACAGTCTTGCCAAAGTTCTTTGTGATCATCCAGAGAGAGATGAGACACTTGAGTAAGTTTCTATATTTTGCAGTGGCTTTATATTAAGAACTATTCATCGACTTACACCCCAGTGTCAATACAGCAGGTGAAAACTTCTTATTGCACTTTTCGTTGTCAACATCATGATCGTAGTGCTCCTTTATTTTATAATCTAAATTACCTTAGATTCTGACTCATCGATTATTGGAGTTAAAAGGCGCCTTCCTTTTAAAACCTTTCTTAGCACAAAGAGTTTCATCCTGTTCATCTGTGTTCATATTATTGACCATTTTCCAAGTTAATATTGTGGTCGGTTGTAGAATACGGTGATTTGTCATCGAATTGTTCTATTGAGAGATTTTAGATAATTTTCCTGAAAACTATTAGGCGGTTACTAACATAAAATGGGCGTCACCGACGAGTGATTTGTGAATTTATTCACCCAATAAGCCTCATAAGAACAAATGTGGCTACAAATGTCTGATATTGGAGCCTGCAGCAATGGATAATTAAGGGGTCGGTGGCTTTGTGATTAGAACATTTGGTTTTCATCCATTATGCGACAGTTAGACCGTGTTCCATCCTGTCCAGTTTGGACAGCAGTGTATTATCGCTAGCTATCAAATGCAAATGTATTTCAAAGCCGAGTCCTGTTTGGTAAAGACGCTAATAAAATTCAGTCTCTTAGTAGTACTGGGAAGCAATGCCGTGATATTTGGGGTGCGTTTCCCCACCCTACATGTAAATTGTTGCTTCTAGACTGGCCTGCGTCAACATCTGAACTAAGGATAGGGAGTAAAGTAGTCGAACGCGTTGACAACTTCAATTATCTTGGAAGTCTGATCAGTCGTAATGGGTTGGTGTCTGAAGAAATCTCTGCATGGATCCAGGAAGCTCGTTTGGCTTTTACCAACTTGCGTTACCTATGTCGAAATTGAGATATCCGTCTGTCAATTGAAGGACGAGTATACTGTGCAGTATTTCGTTCTGTTCTACTTTATGGTTACGAAATGGCGGTCATTAAGGGTAGAATATATTCCCAAGTTACTAGTATTCAATGACAGACGTCTTAAAAATATTGCCAGCACCTGATGTATCACCGGGTAAGTAATTGTTAGGTTAGACGCAGGGTATTAGGGAATGATGTTAAATTAGTTGATGGGATTGTGAATCTTCATCGACTGAAATGGTTGGGCCACGTATTACGCATGCCCAACCACCAACTACGACGGCGGGCAATGCTGACTAGTGTTGGAGACTGATGGAATAGTTACGGACGGCCAAATCAAAATGTAGTATCAGTCCATAAAGTTACTGACTTCTGGTCTGAGCCATGTTGGTAGATGCAGACTACTTGGCTGGGGTCCACGCGACTATCGTAACCAATGGTTAGAGACTGTGTGACATGGCTCAGAATCAATCACAATGGTGCCCCCAAATGCCCTGGTACGGCCGAGAGTGGGGAGAGTCCGCTCTCCCTCTCGAAATGCTCTCACACGGCCACGCGTATATAGCCTCTGCCAGGGAAGTCCTACTCACTGCCTTCTCGTGGCGGGGGTGTTGTTTACGAAAATGAGAGGACGAAAAGCGAATGTCCGGCGCTTTAACCGGATTCAAAACCAATGGTGCACATGGGCTCCAGTATCCTGAGGGAACAAGTGGCGTATGAACCAATTGTTGATCACCGGCTTCCATGGGACTGCATCTCCTTACGATGCTCCACTGCCTTGTGGATCAGACCATTAGGTCAAAGGCTCGGGGTGTGGCCCCCTAGGAAAACCACCTGCTTCGGTCTGGGCACCCGGGCAGTATCACAGCCCTCAGTCAGTCAGTAACAACGTAGAACTTCGTACGTACGTACATCAGTTCGAGTTGCCACACCACATTAGCACAGAGATGCAGTTTTCGATTCAAATCCCGTAGTGGTAGAGGTAATAAGAGTATAAGCAGTAATCGGGAAGATTAGGGTTTGGAGATGTTATTTAAAGAGTATAATCCAGTGAAATAAATTTGGAAAGAGAAAAAAAGAAAGGGACATGAAGAATTCAGAAGATTAGAATTTGGGAGAACACAAAGAGTGGATGCACCTGCGCCATTGCAAACGATTTTGAGCCATGTCGTTCAGGGTCTCTAACCATCGGTTGCTATCATCTCGCGGTCCCCAACCAGGTAGTCTACACTTACCAACATCACTCAGACCACTTGTCAGTGACTTCATGGACTTGTGCCATGTTTTGGTCTGGTCGCCACGAGCTTTCAACCTACTCCCATACCACTGAACATCGCACGTCGACGCAGTCGGTCGTTGGGCGTACGTAACACGTGTCCCAGCCATCTCAACTGATGAAGTTTCACTACTTCATCAATTGATTTGCCATCCTTACCTAGTACCCGTTTCCTAACAACTGTGTTACTTACTCGATGGTCCCATGATATACGAGCAATGTTTCGAAGACACCTATGATCGAATACCAGTAGCCTACGAATATCCTCTACTCTTACCGGCCATGTTTCACTGCCATAAAGTAGGACGGAACGAACTGCTGCGCAGTAAACCCGTCCTTTGGTTGATAGACGGATATCTCGCCTACGCCATAAATGACGCAAGTTGGTAAAAGCTAGTCGAGCCTTCTGTATCCGTGCTGAGATTTCGTCACACACCAGACCACAAGGGCTGATGAGACTTCCAAGATAAGTGAAGCGGTCGACACACTCAACTACTTCACTCCTTATCACTAGTTTGGGTGTCGATGTAACCCAATGCTGAAGCAACATTTTGCATTTCGAGGGAGAGAATCGCATCCCGAACATGCTTGCATTGTTGCTTAGAGTGGTCAGAAGACTCTACATTTTGTCAGCGTCTTCACCAAATAAAACTGTCATCTGCATATTCTGAGTCAACAAGTGAACCTCCCGGTAGAAGTTCAACCCCTGGAAATTTAGATGAGGAGAGTGTTATCTCTAAAAGTACGTCGACCACAAAGTTGAACAAGAATGGAGATAATGGGCAGCCCTGATGAACACCACTTGAGGTAATCAATTCTGATGTCAGTTCGCCATAAGCTCTCATTCAACCAGTTGTGTCCGAGTAGAGAGCCTTTATAAGATTAATGTACTTTGGTACTCCTTTCAATGACAAACTGCCATAAAACCTCACGATCAACAGAGTCGAATGCCGCCTTAAGGTCGAGAAATACTACGATTGTGGGGCGTCTGAATGTGTGTCTGTGTTCTAGAACCTGACGTAGTGTGAATATCTGATCTATACAACCACGTCCATGTCGAAAACCGGCCTGGTTTTCTCTAATCTGCTCTTCACGAGCTTTGATTAGGCGTCGAAGTATTATTGAGGCTAATATTTTAGACACTATATTGGTCAAACTGATTCCTCTGTGATTGTTACAAGAGGACTTTTGTCCTTTCTTATAGACTGGCACAATCAGTGATTGAGACCAGTCAGATGGGATTACGTCCAGTTCCCAAATTCTACCTAAGACCTCGGTTAATCTCATTGCTAATACTGGACCACCATCCTTAAAAATCTCAGGAGTAAACCTGTCAGGGCCTGCTGCTCTCCCTCGTTTCAGATTTCCTATGGCTTTTTCAACTTCGTAAAGGGACGGGGGACCTACATTAACTTGCCATTCAGGTTGACTAGAGATCGTGGGAAACCGAAGTGTGGCTGAAGGCCAGTTTAACTGATCCCCAAAGTGTTTTGCCCATCGATCCAATCTCCTGGATTGAGAATGAATAATATATCCATCTTTCTCTGAGATTGTTTCGCTAACGGTCGGGTTCCTAATTCCGGTTTCCTTAACGAGTCTGAACAATTGTCTGCTATTACCTATTGCCGCTGCCTTTACCATCTCTCTTGCTTTCGCTACCCACCACTGTTCGCGATCATTGCGTAGACTTCTTGTCAGCTTGCGCTTAAGCTGACTCCGCTCTTCATTATGTTTAGAGCCAGGTGGAATGAGTTTCTGAGCATCTATCAGTGAGATAGATGCTGCTGAGATCCAGTGTTGCTCCCTAACCTTACGGGTTACCGTACTAGCAGATATCACTGCTGTTTCCACAGCTTTTCGGATATCATTCCATGTTGCATCAGAGTGGGCATCACATACATGGCTGCCTAACTGTTTTCCTAGTTGTTCCTGAAATATACTCTTAGCTTGACTATCATTAAGTAGGCCCCTAAGAGGTTTCCTTGCAGCGTCTTTCCTACGTCCAGTAAGACGCAAGCAAATACGCGCTCGTACTAGAGCATGATCTGAATCTAGGCATGTGCTCCAGAATAAGCGACAGTCTTCTGTCGAGCCCCTCCATCGGTGGCTGATAGCGATGAGATCTATTTGGGTCCAACGTTGGACGAATTAGGGGGTCGCCATGTTAAAAGATGTTTTTCCTTATGCTTAAAGTTAGTATTTGCAAGGAACAGGCGGTTATCTGAGCATAGCTGCAACAGACGGTCGCCATTATCTGTTCTTTGAGCCACGACACCATAAGATCCACCTAGGTGTCTTTCCCTATCGCTCAGTTTACCTACTTGAGCATTAAAGTCACCGGCCACTATAACTACATCCGAGCGCTTAGCTTTTCGGAGAAGGTCCGAAAGCTTTCTGTAAAACTCATCTTTTACATCATCAGAGCTGCAGTCAGTGGGAGAATAGGCAGAGACGACGAAGAGGCAACGACGAGTGTCTCTATCTTTCCGGATTTTTACTGTTCCGTTCAGTCGGACAGCGCACAAACGACTGTCTACTGGGATCCACTCTAAGAGAGCTAGTTCTGCCTTAGGACTCAATGCTATACCTACGCCGGCGAGGCCACGGGAAGCAGAATCAGGGCTTCCAGATACACGAAGCGTAAATCGAGTCGGTTCTTTATTTTGGCACGGTGAGGTCAAATGAATGACGCTACTTGGATCCTGTATGCGCGTTTCGGAGACGCAGCACACATCGATGGCGCGAGATTCTAAAGTTTTAGCTAAGGAAGCCTGCTGTCCTATTTGGCAAAGTGTTCGTACGTTAAAAGCTCCCACATATAGTTTAGAGCGTGGTTTCAGGAGACCAGGAATGGCGGTGCGGTGCGAGGTGATAAAGAGACGTGAGGAGGGTTAGTCGGGGAGATAAGAGAGGTATTAGGAGATGTAGGAAGGATTTGAATGTGACCACCTTGGTCTCTTGTGCTGTTACGGGTATGAGGGCTGATATCACTTCCCGACTGCCCACACCGTGGAAGGGTATTTCTTTAGGAACCTGAAAAGGAAATTGGATTAGTGTTGGTCTTGACGACCTGGAAGCGTGACCGCAGAGCCCAAGGGACAACTGCTTGAGGCCGGTCGCGCACAGCCTTTTTGTGAGAGGTTTTTGACGTGTTAGCTCCGTTCTTCAAAGGGCCTTACCGCCGGAGAGGGAGATCCGTGAGGTAAGGTGAGGTGTGACATTTTTAGGGTCTACCTTTTCTAACCGCACCCCTCCTTGTGGGAAGGCAGCATCGCTGTCATGCTGGATGTCCGAGGGAAACACCTTACTGCTGTCACACTTCTCTATAGTCAGCAGTACGACTTCGCCCTCAGACCTTGAGTTGCTGCTTTTAGTCTTACCGTTCACCAATCGACCTGCCTGGCATGGTAGAACCTACAGGAACATATGTTCCAGCCAATATAGCTCGGTTGGGTCATCACGATAGGTAAGCCCGACCACCGCGTCAAGGTAGCAGCTTCGATCGGGATCACAGCCCTCACACATATCGAATGAGATTTGTGTGGCGCACATGAGATTAAAATTACTTAATCCTGTTTTATCAACTAATTTTTTCTCCGTGTCATATCCTTTTATTCAACCTTTATATGTATGTATGTATGTATTACTGCCATTGAAGTAATTACTTTTATGAATTTGGTATTCATCCCGTTGTGCTAATGAGGCATAGCAATTTCAATCGATGCATATATGTGCCTGGTCCTACTTTGTATATGAATTACCGACTGAAAGATATGTACTTGGTAAATGAAGTACATTTTAATTTTTGTTATGGAAATAAATAATAATCGAAACTAAAGTTGTTATTCGTCTATAACTGTCCGTTGAACTCTACAGGATGGAAGTAATTTTTTTGCTGTTAAAATAAATTACCACTTCCCATAATTTTAACGTGTCTAGGATATCAAATATGTTGTACGGCAGACATGTAAATATCTTTCTGAATTCCAAATAAACTGAGCATTGGGTAGATTGTTATTAGTAAATATCTTTGCATTTTTTTTAAACATTGGTCTGGTAATAATAGTTCACTATGTTGATGAATACGCTCAGCTTTTTGTCTGTATACAAACTGTCAGTAAAACTATCGATGAGTGTATTTGTCAGTTATTTCAAAATGGTTTTTTGTATTTTGAATATACTATATTGTTAAAAAGGGATTTTCTTTGTTTGTGTACAGGAAGTATAAAAAATTAAAAGCTACTTTAGAACGACTGGAGAATTTAAATGAGGAGTACGACCGAAAAATTCAGCTTAGAAAAACTCAATTCCACTTGTTTTTGGTTGCCCTGAAGGGCTTACAAAAAATTGTCGAGGGTAGGTCTTATTTAAAATAAACTGCCACCTAATTTAATTATCAATTTTTGTAGACGATGATTCGCTATCTTCAGTCACAGATGATTTGGTGCATACGCAGTCGTCAAAGTCTGTACACGAGGAGATTTCTATGAAAATGGATACAAATTGAAGAATATATATGTATTTATAGTAGCCGTAAAATTTTGCTTTTGTTCATTGCGAGAAATTGATTGACCCCGCTTCGATCTTAATACGATCTTTGTACGTACGTCTTGTAAATATAAAGTATCACATGTAAATTTGTTGTGAGATATGGTCAATATAAACTTCTCGTTTGACAACATAAAGTCGGGTGGTTGATATTTGATTATTTTGTGTTAAACGTATCCAATTTTACTTTCTTACATCGAATTGTTCGTGAAATCTAAGTTGAACTCTAATTAAAAGGTTAACTATGGTTGCAACATTCAGCGTTAATCGTTAACTAATGTTTTATGAATGACAGTTAATTTCGCGATAACTCAAGTTCTTTGAATTAGGCGTCATTCTGCAGACTTTACTTGAGTTTCGATAGAGCAATTTGAAAACTGAGTTGCTCTATCGAAATTTACAAAAGGGACTAATTGCTTTAAATTACTTGAGTTCTTAAAAAGTTCGTTTGTCATAAATCCCAGTCACAATTCTTTCAATAGTTAAAAACAGCAAAGCAAACCGTTTCTTCATGTACTCGTAGGAAAATACGAGCATCAATATTAAGAGTATAAACAGTTTAAGGACTTAATTTTATCACTTTCTTGATATTTTGGAGAGGAGTAGTACCTTCGAATGAAGTGTCAAACTCACATTCTTTCACTATTATTGTAAATTCACAAGTGGGAATTGGATACAAATAACATTTCAAAGACATAGACAACGTAAGTGTATCGTCTATTTCAATGAAGAGCCTCAAGTAATTTGGATTATTTACACATTACAGACTTCTAAAACAATCAGGGATTTGGTAAAGATGGTCAAAAAAGCCATGTTAGTCAGTTTGTGGTGCGTGCTACTTATATTAACATAAGTAGTATATAAAGTGAGTCAGGAATGTAACGTCTGGCAGCAGAAGATTGGGAAGATCAAGAAAGGAAGGACGGGATTATAAAGCAATCATTATAGAAATACAAGAACAATGAAGTCCAATACAATTATTGAACGTTTTACAAATTAGGTATTATAGTATGGTTTTTCTATTTTACCAAGTAACTCTGTAATTTTGTGCTACATATAATTCGGTTGTCCTCACCTGTGTTCTCCTTCACTACAAGTTCACTCCCATCCTTTTTCCTAATACTTTCGAAAAATATTTTTAAAAAAATGAAGTTTTCGGTTTGCTTATTTTGACCTATTACCTTTACAGACATCCATCATCTATTCAACATTCATTTAATCATCGTCCATTTTAGTCGAATTTTCATTTCTAATTTACGACTATTATGATAACTAGTCTTATTTTAACACTACTAAGTAAAACGTTTAACTCTTTATGAGTTAAACCATCCAAGTAGTTAGCTTTTATCATACTGTCTTTAACTATTATTGTCATCATTATCATTACCGCTTTGCATATGATTATTTTATGAATTTTTTAAGGTAATTTCTACCAGTTTTCCCATTTCATGTAGTGCGCATGTCTGTTGAAATCGATTATATCATGACCTCTCGTTTATTTCTTTCGTCTACAAACCACATTTACATGGGTATCAAAATAACCATAATTGTTCACCAGTGAACTAGATGACCATGGTTTTGAGGTTAACTGGGTCATTTTTTGCTGGCAATTTATTCGTTCATGAAATATTTCCATGTTATTCTTTTTATACCAGTATTTTTTTGACGAACATCACTGATTTTGTGTCTCAGCGATATACTTGAATGTGGAAGCTGTTATATGAGGGGTTAAGTATTCATTCAGAAATATCAGATTTGTTGATCGATTCGATGGGAAGTAATCAAGTATCTATGAAAACGATGAAAATAGAACTTTTCTAATCTAGGATTAATAAGAAGTTATCAAAAGAAAAGGCTTAGTAAAGTGTTTCTTAAAATATCAAAAACATTTTTGTCATATAATATAGGAAATTTATTTTAGGAAGAGTTACAGCACTTATGGTACTACTGAGAGAAATTTAACATAATTTGTCTATTTATCAAATAGTAAAGTCACTTTTTTAGCTATCGGTTGTTTCTTTTTTAAACTCGCAACAACTATTAGGATGGAAAACCATTAGTCAGGTTTTCGTAGAGAATTGATGAATAACCACAGTTTCAAATCAAACAATCCACCGTATCCTCAATAACAAGTTATAACCTTCTATTGTAGCAAATTGTGAACAAATCGTTTTTACCGGTTTTATTATTTCCATGGTATCGAATATTATTTAATGCTCGGCGAGTTTTGTATTTTCTTCTAAATTATTTTTTTCATTCCGTTTCGTCCAATTAAATTCGTAATTGGTTATTTATTTATGAAAATTGACATGTAATGTAAGTGCTTGTGGACAGATCCACTCTTCTTCAACTTGTGAACGATAATAACGTACAAAGTACAAGTTCTATCGTTTCTCATGTTGTCACCGACACGGATAACATATTCTTGAATTCGTTGTATCTGGTAGCGTTCCAATCGCTTGAAGAGTTAAAGAGCACCATCAGAACTTATGAAAGGGCAACGTCCTGCCATTATGCAGTGCGAGAATCTCATTTCCATAGGAATCAGAAGACGCTTATTAAATTTGCATGTTGGAGAAATGGCCGTGGATCACCTGGCGGATCCTCACAGTCGATTAGACGGAAGTAATTTGATTAGTGTTATTATATTGTTCATGAAGGACTGCAATGAACACTCAATGTCGGGCCTTCATCTTTTTGAAGTTTATTGGATTGTTATTCGTGGGAATGTGCATCACCATCATGAATACAATTCCCTGATGATAATAATCCTTGGATTCGCAGGTTTCGCGCGGAATTTGAAGCGATATGACCTCTTCTGATTCCGGGGACAGCAGCATTCAATACTGTGCACTCCGTTTACCAATCTTATGGGAAGTGCCTGAATCCCTAAGATGTTTTTAACATGCGCCGCAAAGTGTTCTCGCAGGCCAACCTTCCTGGTAAGCAATGCGCCTATTTACATTGTAGATGTTAGGTGATTACACCAAATCGAAAGTTCACATCACGTCACTTGGTGGGTTTTGTGAGTACGAAATCGATGAAGAGAATTATCTTCTGCGCTACTTCTTCGCAACTGCTGATCAGATAAATTTGACAACTCGTTTTCTTGATGTTGTTGGTTTTGATGGGACCTACAAAACCAATTACGGAAATTCATATTTGTATCAAATAGTTGCATTGGATATGAATTTAATGGCATTAAATGATATTTTTATCTGTCAGTGAATGCAAATAATTTGATAGCACAGATCATTCGAATAATATTAAGCATAAGTTTGACTTTATGTGTATATTTTTATTCATAATTAATGAGGCAATTGGCTGCTGATTCTTGTGTTTCATTGAGAACGGAACTATGGTGATAGGTCACTTAACAAATATTCATAGAATGTCTTGAAAATCTTTTAATTTGTACTTACATTTGACCGATTATTGTATGTTATGATGAGAAGTCAGCATTAGCAGATAAACAATTGTCCCATCGTATAAAAATATAAGAGCTTTCACTGTTATGGTTTATACTTAGACCATAGTAACCTTTAGTTTGAAATACATATGTTTGAAGAGTGTTCATACCAATATTTACTCTAAATGAGAAGACATGTTTTAAAAAAAAGCGATTCACAGCATGAATTAGTCATTTAATTTATATGTTTATCAATAAGGAATTTAAGTCAACAAAGGGAATTCTGTAGCGAAAAACTGTCCCTCAAAAACATGTTTGTCAAGTTTCCATTTAAAGGGAATTATTTTAACGTCCGGAATAGATTTTGACTGAAGGTCAGGATTGAAATGACTTCCTACTCATAAGTTATTTATCGACTCTATGAAACAGAAAGACTATTCAGAGAATCTAACTTAGGTAACAGACCTTCCTTATTTAACTCCCGTTGAATTCATCCATACCTGAAGTAGCACGCAAATTGATAGAACGGATAGGATATTTATCTAAAAAAATCTTCAAATCATCCAGAAGGGCCATAATTTGATCTGTATCAAAGATGCTTTACAAAATTCAAATAGTCTGTGTCGTCAAATAATTCACTGACAAATATGGATCAATCGCTTAGCATAAGTGGGTTGCAAGTATCTTATCGAAATAATACTCAATAGTAAATGAAAAGTCATTTTCTAAGCCTCACTGTTGTAAAATCTCGTATTATTCGTTAAGTAGGTCAATTGAATTCTCAGCTTTGGTGTTTGAAATAAATGTATGAGATAAAATGACTAAGGTGATAAAAGTAGCATAGTACCACCGAATTCGGGAAATCACAGTGTTTGTGGAAAGTAGACTTTATTGGAAGTCCAAGCAACTACGTTTTTGACTAGTCACATAGGCAAACGGGGAGAGAATAAATCGAACAAACTTCACACATAAAAATTTAATTCTCCTTTTTGATGGTCGTTTTTATGAGGACCGCCCTTACTGGTGGAAACCCTCTTCATCACTCTCTTTTTCACGCCCTTATACTGACATGTGCATGTTCAGCACAGCTGTAATATTCTGATTAATTGAAGTAGTACATTTTTCATCGACTGATTTTTCATAATATTTTCTTGACTATCATTACGGACCTATATACTCCGATAGGATGCATTCATAATCACATCATTGGAAAATGAGAATTTTGAAACTACAAATACAAGCTTTCTCAGTAGAAAAACACTGTAAACCTTAGATATGTTGTGAATGAGAAAGTTTATGTAATTAATATCTGATGAGCATTTTATAAAAATAGAAAAAACAGTTTCGTGAGGTAATGGTGTGAGTGATTTAAAATAATAAAAGTAACTAAATATTGTTAATTTTCAGCAAATTAATATCATTGTTGGATATCACGTTGAAATGTCTCGATTTAGTGTACAAATGATGAAAATATTCATTCCACTAATTTGCACACGAAAGTTAACAGACGTTTTCAAACTGTTGTCGTTTTCAAAAGTCAGAAATAATCTTTATATGCGAACACTAACCACTATTATTTACTCAGTGGTAAACAAGTCACCAAGTTCGGAGTAAGTTTTCAAAACAAACTGACATTACCTGGAGGTCAAGTGTAAAGCAATGGATTACTGTGTAGCTGTTATTTCTCATTTATCTGCCGATCATATTTCATCGCTAAATAAACTTACAATTAT